TTTTGACTTAAGGGAGTGAGGTGAGTATCTAAGTGGGGGTGGTAAGGATAATGGGGAAGGAAGAGGGATTTGTGATGCACATGGAGGAGACGATGCAGTATCTTTCAGTTGAGTGGGAGGAAGAGGGGTCTGGGGAACTTGAGGAGGAGGATGGATATCAGCACAAACCTTGAATGTAGAGTGACTAAAGGGATCAGAGGAAAGATGAGGGAGTGGATCATTCTCTTGAGTCATGTTTATGAACTTTTGGATGTCTTCAAGAGTTTCTAGAAGGGAATCAGGTGGGGAAGTCAGGGAAACAAAGGTTTTCTCATGTGGAGAAGAAGGAATAGATATCTGAGGAGCAGAGGAAGAGATGGGTGTAGGAGAGGATGTGGTAGAAGATGGAGTGGAAAATTTAAGTTACCTGGTGTGACAGGTAGAGTGAGAAGGAGGGGGAGGAGGAGGCACTGGGGAAGTGGTAGAGATTGGAGTATCTGGATTTAGAATGGAAAAAGAATTTGACTGGGGGTGAGAGGTAGTAGAGATAGATTGGTTTGAGGGAGAAGGAAGAGATACTGGAAGAGATGCTGAGACTTCTTGAAATAGTTAGAAAGAGAAAAACCTTGTCAGTGTTCTTCTTGACTGGCCTCATGTAGAGTGAGGCCTAGCTTGAATCTGAGAACTGCTACCTCAGATTTGAAACTCATAGGCAGGGCAGCTTCTATTAAATATATTATGAGAGCCACCACATTTGGCACATGTGCATGACTAAGCAGAGCAATTTGAATGGTCATGACCAGGAATTTCTGAATACAGGTATCACATAGGATTAATGAGAAAAATATATGAATTATAATGCAAGGACTGCCACCATACACCAGTACAAGTTCAGAAAAGCAGTATTAAGCAAGTCATGACAAGAAAAAGACCTTGGAATGACTGGAACCTTAAACCCAAGATCACCAAATCCTATCCGTGATCACAAACGTGAAGAGTGTGCAGACAGAGATACTTTTATAGTGCAGTGATATGAAGTCCCCACAAAGATAAACTGCTTTAAGATGAATTATGAAAAAAGACCCAAAGAATATAAAACTTACAATACTAAAGGAAAGAAGAAAATGGGACTTAATAATGATTTACAAGTATTTCATAGGAACAGCAAAGTTAGGCAAGGAAGAATTTATAATTTCCAGTGAAACAGGAACAAGAAGTTATAGAGTAAAATGTTGGAACAAGGATGTAAAGAAATTTGCAAATACTATTTGTGCTGAATGCACACACGCACGCATGCATGCACACACGAACGCATGCATGCACACACACACACACACGCACATGCACATGCATACGCACACGCACACTCACACATTTATATATGTAAACATTGCAAGTACATTAAAGGAGTGAAGAATATAATGTACTAGGTAAGTAGAGTAAATGTGTGTCAGATGACAATATAATCTGATATTGGCAGGACTAAACAGAAGTAATAGTAAAAGTCACAAATGGTCTAGATGAAAGAATGCAAGCATAAAGATACAAACATGGTAAACAGTGTCTGAGGACCATGAAGTGCTTCATGGCAAGTCTCTTGACATGGGCACCCTTGAGTCCAAATCTGTTCTTCCAATTATGGCCTGAGATAATGAGTTTGGCTAACAGTACAGCATCTCGAACATCTGAAAATATGATTTTGGTTAAAAAGTCAGTTAACTGACTTAATCTTTAACCTTATACTCATAAGATCTAGATTTATATACACATACATATAATCTCTTACTTTTTTATATTCATCTGACTTACTGTCCATTATGATTAAAAGTAGATTTTTCTTTGCATTACATTCTGATAAGGATGGGTGAACTAATTATATTTTTATGACTTGTAAGGCACTGAAAAGTTAAACAGGGAGGTGTAAATCACTATACTTACTGCCTTGCTCCAAGAAAAATTCTCTTTCAAGAACAGAATAACTGGTAGTAACAGTAAGGCTGGAAGTCCCAGGTGGGCCATGAAGACCAAAAGAGATTGATGGTTGGCCTGCAGTTTCCAAAGAAGTGATCACATCTTGCAGTGCTGGAGGAAGATTCTCCCATTCTGTCAATCCTTGCATGTTGTTCCACTGACCCCCTATATGTAGGAATGAAAAAGAATAAAAAAAAAAAAAAAAAATTACTGTTAATTTCCAACTGATATAAATGCAATATATCTGATATAGTTACTGCATACATGTATATGAAAATTTGTGTTTGGTATAAGACTACAGAAATGTAAACTTTTCAAGATATATCTCTGTAATAATGATATTTTTCTTCCTTTATAACAATATCATACTTAATAAATATCTGGCTTATGATGATAACTAAGATCAATCTCAAGTAAAAAGTCACAGTAAATAATTCATTATATACTATATGTCAATCATGATGACCATTATTTTTATTTTTCATTATTTATTATTATTTTTTTTCTTGGAGCATAAACAAATGTATGGAAACATCTATGACAGCATATC